GTTTTGTTTTTACTTTGTTTTTAGGTAGGACCACAATGGGAAAAAAGGAAGATTTCATTGCTTTGTCATGTATGAAATCAGGTACAGATTAAAGAATGAGATCCCTTAAGAATGAATTTTTTAAAAAAAGGAGGTATGGTGGTTAAAGTGCAGGACTCCCGCATGGCTGACTGCAGTTCAAGTCCCAGACCTGGTGGCTTTCTTCCTCACTTTCTCCCTCTCTGGTGCCCTATAGCAAATTAAAAAATAATAATGAATAGATTTTTTTAAGAGAATGTTTATGGGACCAACAGGTAGTGTGGCTAAGATGATGTATTCCACATGACCAATTGTGGTATAGCCCTGGCAGCTTGAAAATCACGCCAGGTGCATGTGTGCCCAAAATCCAGAGAAGAAAATACAGAAGGGATTTCTGTGTGGTCATTCCCCCCCGAGGGGGGGCGGTATTTCTCACTTTTCCTTGTTATATCTTTCTCTAGGAAGCACATGTACTCTATGGGGGAAAAAACAAAGAAAAAAAAAATGGGATGTTTAGAGAGAAAAACTTTATGGGCAATTTTAAGGCTCAGGCAGAGATGGAGCTGACATTTAACTTCTGGTGAATTCCCTGAATTTGAGTCCAGACTGCGATAAAGAACTTTTTTAAAACTGAAACTGAAAAATACACAAGGGGTTCTCACATTTATTGAGTGCTTAAAATACTCCAAGCACTATTCTAAGTGCCTTACACATATGAATTCATTTAATCCTCACATTAGCTCTATAAGGTAATATTACTATTGCCCATATCCAAAGATGGACAGACTGAGTCCTAGGAACTTAACTATTTTGCCCAAAGTCAAAAGCCAGTTCAACCCTAGCTAAGTTGGCTTTAAATGGCACAGATTGTGCTACACTGGCTTTACTGCCTTATAAACAATAAATAAATAAATAAATAAATAAATAAATAAATAAAGGACCCTTGCCCCTACCGTAGCCAAGAGAATGAAAGGAAACTATCAATAAGTCAACCTTTGACTAGAGAGTACAAATACTAAAGACTGAAGGAAGATGAGTGACAAAGAGGATCAAATTAAAGAAGATACACTCCTGAAAGAGTAATTAAATGTTCTGTGGTTATTTTTTCCCCTAATGGATACTGTGTAGGAAGGTGAAAGACTGTCAAGAGAAAGGCCAGGAATTCTAAGGATATGATCTTATGATGCACAATTTCTAAACTTTTTGAATAGAGTTAGGAGTTAACTGTATGGTAGGGAAATGACAGGGACACTTTTTATGGGTGCGTTTTCCAGGAAGTCCATTTTGATTTTCATGGCCTCTGAGTAAGGTCAAATAAAACTAAATTCTACAGCTAGAGGGGACAGGCTAGAGTACAATGACTTCACTTTATTTTTTTTTATTCTATTATTTATTGATTCATTCATTCATTTGTCCTTAAGGCATGTGAGTGTGCCAGAGAGAGAGAAAGAGAGACACATAGTGAGAAGTAAGAAATCATCCCATGGGAAGGATGGCCATGCTACAATCTCTTCTCCTGGGATCTTGGGCACACACACACACACACACACACACGCCCAGCATGAGTTTCAATGAGTCGAGTCCAGGCCTCAAACCAGTCAGCCATGTGGTAGTCCAACAATGTAACCACTATGCCATCTGCTGGCCCCAGTGACTTCACTTTAGAAATCCTTTGGTCATTTGCTCAGTTTTCCAAGTTCTTCTACAGAATACAGCATGGTCTTTGGAGTGAGAAAAGTATGCATGCTAATCCTACTTTCAATACTTAATATGTGTTTACACCAAAACAATCTCCTTGGCTTCAGTTTTTTCAATTTTGGAGTTGTCAGAAAATTCATGACATATTTTTTGTTGTTTAAACGTCATTTATTTGTATAAAGAACAAAGATCAATAAATGACATATTGTCCATTTTGTCCGATAACCTTTTGCCATCTTTCAGTGAGCTTCATGATTCCTTGTTCATAGAAGGACCTGTCTCTACCAGCAAAAAAACAGAACTAGGTGCTGATTTACAGCCTCATTGAATTGAACATTACACCATGCAAGTTATGAAGAGAGTGAAACAAACAGAAGTCTGACAGCACAGTATCAGGCGAGTACGGTGGGTGTGGCTGCACATCCCATCCAAGCTCCAATAATTCTTGACAGGGGATCAAACTTGTGTGTGGTCTCGCATTGTCATGATGGAACACAATTCCTTTACAATCAACAAGCTCTGGACATTTCTGGATAATGGATTTGTTCAAACTATTCAACTGCCAACAGTACACATTCAAATTGATTGTTTGGTTTCTTGGTAGGAGCTCAAAAAACACAACAGTTTTAAAATCCCACCACACTGAGAGGATAACCTTCTTCTGATGAATGTCTGCTTTCAATGTTTGAGGCTAATCATCACATTAGGACCAAGACCATTTGCATACCACATTGTTGTAAATAACCCACTTCTCATCATCAGTTATTGGTTCCTTCAAAAAAAAGGATCTTTTTTTCTCATGTTTAATGAGCATATTGCAGATGTTTATACATGCCATCAAATGAATTTCTTTACGTTCATGAGGAATCCAAATATTGAGCTTCTATCCCAGCTTCTTCAGGTGGTCATGAACACTTGAATGATGGATGTTCAATGTTTATGCAATCTCTCATGTCACGTAACAGGGGTTTGACTTGATCAAAGTCTTTATTTTGTTGTCATCAACTTCAGTGGGCCTCCCCGACTGAGGAGTATTGTTGAGATAAAAATCACCAACCTGGAATTTAGTGAGCCATCATTGGCACTGATATTCTTGTAGAGAGCATTGTCACCATAAACTTAACTCAACTTTTCACAAGCTTGACGCGTGTTCTTCCCTTTATGGGAGTTAAACCATAAAATAAAATGAAAATGCAGTTTAGTCTTCCACCTTCAACATGTAAAATCTCCAAAACTCAACTAAACTTCTTAATTTTTTTTTTTTAGAATAAAGCTAGAGCGTCAGCTAAAAATGACATAGTAGTAACATAGGTGCAAATGACTCTAGTACTTCCAAAAATGAAGTATTGCCATCTGCTGCAAAAATGCATCATGACTTTTCCAACAACTCAATATTAATGAAGACATTATCTACCTCTCAAGTAGAGGTAATGAAGAGGAATGCATATATATATTTATGTACGTATGTATACATATACATACATATATACACACACACATATGTGTGTGCATGTGTATTTATATATAGCATAGTACAGAATAACACATACTATTCAGTAAATGTTATCTCCATCCCTTTGCCCAAGTTATTACCAAGAATGTTAAAACACCTTAAACTAGTAAAAAGGATTTGATTTTAAAAATTAATGAATAAAATAAAGTAACATTATTACCAGTTATAAATGTAATACAAAAAGCTCTGAGTAAAAAATGCCTTCTACAGTATTTAAGTTCATCAGGTTAGCTGGCAATAACTGAGTGGTAATGAAGTCAAAGTTTAATGTTCATATTCCCCTATTCTTACAAGGGATGTTATTGTTCCATTTTACAAAATCATCCTTTATTCAAAGAAGATCCCAATACTTAATTAAACTGGCATTATATACAAGATCCAGAGACTACAATTTAGGAAGAGAAGTAAAGACCTGAACTCCTGCCATTTGAAAACCAGACTCATTGAATAAAAAATTTTTATTTAACTATTTTAGTACCAGTATTTATGGTACAAAAATAAAAGTCCAAAAACCTGATGAGGGTAAAATGTATCCACCAACTATATAAACTCTATAAATACTACAAGAAACTTAAGAGAATTTCAAATGAGGTTGTGAGAAGTTTGCTTCAAGTTTAATACCTTTTTCCTTTTAAATAACAAATCAGACTACTCCTATACATACAAAATTATTCCTTTATTATTAGTCATATACTCAAAGGATAAACAAACTTCAAAATATTTTTAGACAAAATCAGTAAATAAATTGTTAAGCATGTCAAAATTATTTCAGTCTAACATTTTACTTAGTAGATAAATGTGTAAATAATCTATAAATAGTATGAATATTTTTCTCAAAATGCTAAGTGAAAGAAGCTAGGCACAATAGAGTACACATTGTATAAATCCATTTATATAAAATTTGAAAAAAACAAAACTACTGATAGAAAATAAATCACTGTCTGCCAGGGCCAAGGATGGAGGCAGAAGACTGACTGCAAAGGGACACTTGAGAAGTTTTAGGGGTGAAGGAAATGTTCTATATCATGATGACAGTTGTAGGCAGACAATGGTATTTTCAAAACTCAAAGAACTCTACATTGAAAATTAAAGAATTTTATTTTATGGAAATTATACCTCAAGTTTTTAAAAGGTAATAAATATATAATAAAGCAACGTGTTTTCCAAAGAATCTGTTTAGACAAAATACTTTGTTTAGTAAACAAATCAACAAATAATATAAATTTTTTTTTTTAGAGGTTTTCGCTATAAGGGTGCGTGCGCTCGCCAGACAGACAGAGAGAAACATAGAGACAGAAACCGAGAAATCACCCCCCGGGGGGATGGCCACGCCACAATCCCTTCTCCTCCATTCTCCTCTCAGGATCTTGGGCACGCACACACATGCGCCTGGCGTGAGTTCTAAGCCACTGGGTCCAGGACACGAACCACGGTCGACTACGTGGGAATCCAGCGACATAGCCATTACGCTAACTGCTGGTTCCCAATTTTTTTATAATCATAAATAGTGTTTACTTTCTGACTTATATTTAAAATTTTCTAGAGTGCATGTGCCTGCCAAGAGACACAAAAACCAGAGAATGAAAGAGAGAAAGAGGGAAAATAAGAAATTACCCCCTAGGAGGGATGGCCGCACCACAATCCCTTCTCCTCCATTCTCTTTTTGAGATTTTGGGCACACATGCACACATGCCCAGAGTGTTTTTCAAAAGCCACCGGGTCCAAGATTCAAACCACACAAATCAGCCATGTGAAATCCAGCCACCTTAACCACCATGTCATGGGGCTGGCCCAATTTCAAACATTTTTATAAGCAATATTCTTTCATTTTCCTGTAGAAAGGCATGTGAAACTTAGAAGTATCTGAAGTGACCTTGAGTACAATTTAAAACTCACTAAAAAATACTGTATAAACTCAATATATTCATATAATACCTGGGAGGTTTTTCAATACATTTTCCAAAAATGTAACAATTTACCAGGAGTTGCAATTTCAGGTCATAGGGGACCAAGTAAATAATATAAATGAACCATATGGAAGAAGTGGTAAACCCAAGAGTACATGGCCATTCCTAAGTGAACCACCATCACTAGGTCTTGCAGACTGATGCCAGGAAACAACACATAGGCCTTAACGAAACCAGACCTTCTGATGTTTAAAGACAGCAGAAATCTGGACTTATACATGAAATTTTTCAGTCTTTTAGAATGATGGTTGGAATTTTTATTACAATACCATACGGGTCAAACAAAATACACCCATAGGCAGGATTATAGACTCTGGTTCACAATGTATGCTTTCTGAATTGTAATAACATACTCTTGCCATTTTTCTAACCGTTTGACTCTTTATGTGTGATGAATCAAGAATAATGTGAAAGGACATGCAACTAAAGGAAAATTCACCTCAAAGTTACGTGAAAGCTAATCACTTCTATTCGCTTTCCTGGAAAACCAGCTCCTGTTTACGTTTCTAAGTGTACTGGTTGGTAATAAAAGGAAAAATAAATTAGAATCAAGGGTGAAGAGGTGAGCAACACTGAAGATGCCACTAACTGAATTTAGATGATTGTCAGCTTCCAGACTCCAGGGCAATAAAATAATCCACATGCTGAAATTTAAGAACTTCATTGCCCCAACTAGTCCAACCTGGTTGTAAATTCCGAGCAAACAATTCCAAACATTCTCCATCTGGCTTAATGTAGTCTTTCAGAACCTCTGTCCAAAAAAAGAAAAAAAGAAAAGAAATTATTATTAAGAAGGGAATCGATTTCCTTTTATCAGTTAAGAGTTGCAAAGGAAGGATATTTCACTTTAAAAAAAGGACAGAAATTTCAAGGAATCTGTCACAGGCTTTACTATATATAGTTAGAATGCATGCATTAGAATATAGAATTTAAAATGCATGCCCTTAAGGTTGGGAAAAATATTGTAAGAATTTTCAGTAGTCCTGATTTATTGCTTCTCATTTGTAGATGTGAAATTAGGTGACTTTTCAATTTTCCAATACTACTAACATATCTCCTGAGTACTAACTCATTTTTTAATAAACATAAAACATACATGAAGAACTCTATAGAAACAATACAAAGACTACTCACTTTAAAAACTAAGGTAAAATATAAGTCTCTTTGCAAAATACACTCAAATTATAGATCCCTCTTTACCTAAAATTTCACCATACTATTTCCACAGATATTAACTACTCAATGTATTAATAACTACTGAAAATGGTCATTTGTTGGAAAAAGGTTTTTAAAGACATGGTCTCACTATATTGAACAGGCTGGCCTTGAATTCACAATCTTGCTGCCTCAGACTCCCAAGTTGCTGGAACTACAAGCACAGACCACTCCATCCAGTTCAAATCACTTTTAATGCTCATAGAGCCTAAACCCATTTATTACCATCATATTTTCTTAATGTAATACATTTTGCCAGGATTTTTTTCTTTCTAGTTGTGAAAAACAGAAAATCAAGTAGTGTTTTTACAACATTAACCACATTTGTTTTATTTCAAAATAAGGTAAAATAAATCATGGATGGGTCAGCTGGTGGCTTTTGGTTAAGGCAGGTGGATCCCACATGGTCAACTACATGGTCCAAGACCCAGACCCAGCAGCTTGAAAAACATACCCAGCACTTGTGTGTACATGCCCAATATCCTGAGAGGAAAAATAGAAAAGGGACTGAGATGTGACCATTCCCTGTGGAAGGTGCTTTCTCACTTTTCCTCTCTTCTTTCCTGGTGAGCACACATGCCCTCTAACAAAATTAAAAATAAAAAAAGTAATAACAAATTAAAAGAAATGTCTTATTCTCACTAATTTTAAATATCTACTTTAAAACAAAGGCAAATATATCAATGTAAACATGAATATGACATACATATACTTAGACGATAACATAACATCGGGCATTAATAAAATGTACTTCTATTCTATCCAATGGAGATGAAATAATCCACACATAGCCAGTCATTTCCCTTTTGCTCTATGGCATGGAGCAGGACAGGAGAAATAGCTCCAACATCAGTGCATATGATTTCATCAAATATGATTCACTCAGGGTCAGCAGGTAATGTGGCGGTGAAGGGCCTGGACTCCCACATGGCTGACCATGTTCAAGTCCGGACCTGGTGGCTTGAAACTCACACTGAGCACATGTACATGAGTGCCTAAGAGCCCAAGAGGAGAAAAGAGGAGAAAGGATGTGGCATGGTCATCCCCCAGGGGGGTAATTTCTCACTTTCCCTCTTTCCAGTGAGCACACATGCCATATGACAAAAATCTAAAAAAAAAAAAATTTACAAAAATATGATGAACTCTTCGGATAGCAACTGTAAGTAGTAAAGAGTGGAAATTTCTCTAAGGGACAATATGAAAACCAGTATTTTGATTCAAATACTTTTATTTCGTAACTATCCTACCTTAAAACTTCAAACTTAAGAATATGCATTCGTGGGGCCAGCAGGTAGCATAGTGGTTAAGGTGCTGGACTCACACAAGGTCAAATGCGGTTTAAGTCCCAGACCCAGTGGCTTGAAACTCATGCCAGCAACGTATGCATGTGTGCCCAAAATCCTGAGAGGAGAATGAAGGAGAAAGTATTGTGACATGGCCATCCTCCCTAAGGGGTGATTTCTCGCTATCTCTCTGGCAAGTGTATGCACCCTATAGCAAAAAATCTCTAAAGAGGATATATATTCATTGTATTCAGTTGTAAACCATAGCTAGTGATGGCTTATCTTTTCATCTATAGGAGAAAATCTTGAAACCTGAAGTAAATGTATCATTTTGCAAAGGAATATGCTTCAAGGTGACATTGTTAAATTAGCAGCAGAAATAACAAATTAAACTTTAAAAATACATATAACTTGGTGTTTCTAGAAGAAAAGGGGAGAAAAGTTCTAAACATCACATACAGAATATATATTATACCAAATCCTTACAGTTATAATTTCAGAGTAAAATATGCTGCCAAAACCTGAAAGTTGCTTTTTGATGGCTTTAATGTATATTGCTCTTTACCTAAAATACATACTCTTGCTATATATAACAGTAACATGAAATCAAAAATAAAACACTACACGTATTTCTTATCTATCACTACTTAACCAAAACATAAGGATTTTATACATATATATATATACAGAGAGAGAATCATTCAGATTTTTCCCCTCAAACCTGTGGCTTTTAAATGTTCTCAATTATAAAAATATGTTGTACTGCTCTCTACTGGGAATGTGGTGAAGCTGCATTTCATAGAAAGCTGCAGTAACTTTAGGGCAAGAACAATTTTCATTAACTTGTTTTTTAAATGTATTTATTTTACATTCATTCACTATTTTAAAACCTGTCCCTAGAGACTACTTTTTTTTTAAATTTGTTATATGGTGCAATGTGCTTGCCAGAGACAGAGAGAGAGAGAAAGAGAGAGGTAAAGAAGCATTCTCCCCAGGGGAGATGGCCAAGCTGCAATCCCTTCTCCTTCATTCTCCTCTCAGGATTTTGGGCATGCACACACATGCCCAGAATGTTTTCCAAGCCACTGGGTCCCAGCTTTGAACTGCACAGTCAGCCATCTGGGATCCAGTCACTTTAACTACCACATCACTGGCTGGCTCAAGAGCCTAATCTTTACATATAATTTAACTGTATATTAAAGAAATCAATCGTTAACTATCACTTGAAAATGAAAAGTTTAAGGCCTTAGCTGTTGGATTTTTAAAAGTCAAAAAAATAAAATAAGGTCTGAGACAAAAACTAAATTAAGCTGTTTCTTATCAAATTATAAAAAAGATTAAAGTAAATGTAATACACACACACACACATATACATACCATGCTGTATTAAGTAGTGCCAAACATATTTTTTTCCTCAAATAGTGTAATCTCACTTATCATTTAAGTCATATATTTAGTGCATAAAGAGTCTATGACTGCGGCTGAGGCTGAGACACAGCAGTAATGCACTACTTGAGGAATGCCAAATCTCACATGGCAACTGTGGTTCAAATCCCTGACATGGTCAGCCTCAAACACACCAGGCACATATGAGTAAATGAGTGCCTAGGATCCCAAACTGGAAGACTAGCGATCACAGCATGACCAGAGTCTGATGAGTGTTCATCTCTCTGTCTGCCTATCTCATATGCGTGCATGCATACTCTATCGTGTATGAAGAGAAGAGTCTATAACAGTCCAAAGTGTAAAGGCTTTCTTCTGTCATTGAGAAATCCTCTAAATCAGGCACCAGCAGTTAGTGTAATGGCTATGTCGCTGGACTCCCAGGCAGCTGACAGTGGTTCAAGTCCTGGACCCAGTAGCTTAAACTCACACCGGGCGCATGTGCGTGCGTGCCCAAGATCCCGAGAGGAGAATGGAGGAGAAGGGATTGTGGCATGGCCATTCCCCCTGGGGGGTGATTTCTCATTTTCTGTCTCTCTGTCTCTCTGGCAAGCACATGCATCCTATAGCAAAAACTTCTCCAAAAATAAAAGAATCCCTCTAAATCAAAGAATAGATCATCAGACATCTGAATATTCCCAAATGAAGCAATTATTATAAAGGCTCTTCTGCATAAGCAATTTAAGATAATAAGAATCATGAATGATAACAAAAAAAATTCTCTTTGGAATTTGGTTGTTTTTTTAAGTGTAATCCTTTTTTAAAAAATTTAATTTTAATTTATTTTATACATTCAATCACATATGTCACTTAGCTTGTAAAGTCAATGTTCCAACATGAATACATTTCTCACTAGTCCACTGGGGGATACTATACATGTTATCATCAACAGATAATAAGCCATTTCTTGTCCCATAAATGTCTTGTCTTCCTATTTTTTCTCCTTAATGTCTTTCCTCAGACTCTCCTTCTCCCACTCTCTTTCCATACTATATCTGGCATCTATAACCATTTTCTATGTTTCTATATCCTCTAGTCATTCAGTTTTGGCCATAGAGTGCAGACAATTGGTATATATTAAGTGAATCCTAAAGAATAATAATTTTTTTTTTTGGAGAGGTTTTTGCTATAAGGCGCGTGCGCTCGCCAAAGAGACAGAGAGAGACAGAGAGATAGAAAGTGAGAATTCACCCCTTGGGGGGATGGCCACGCCACAATCCCTCCTCCTCCATTCTCCTCTCGGGATCTTGGGCACGCACGCACATGGGCCCGGCGTGAGTTTAAGCCACAGGGTCCAGGACTCAAACCGTGGTCGACTACATGGGAGTCCAGTGACATAGCCATTACGCTAACTGCTGGTCCCAAAAATAATAATTTTTTAAATGAAATTTATCAAACGTATTAACAATTACATGTAAAAATTAAAAGAGAATTATTAAAAATCTTAGCCAAGAAAGAACACAATGAAATAACTCTATGCTAAGTAATGGAGCATCAAACACGTGTAATAGATTAAACATTGCAAAGAAGAAATTAAATTATCATTAATTACAGAGAATATTAGTATTTATAAATAAAAAATCACATAAAACTTTTCAATGTCAGACTTGTTAAATTTATAAAACTCAAATCCACTATGTGAAACAATGTGGAAACTGGGAAAACTATTTACTAAATAAATTCAAATAGTATTAAGATAATCATTGATCTTGGGAATGACATTAGAAATTTTTTGAAAGATAAGGAAATAGCACAAAATAATTCCATTCTAAAAACTAATGAAGTCTATGACTTTCTTCTTTGTGTGTGTGTGTGTGTGTGTGTGTGTGTGTGTATGTGGATGTGTGTTCCACTGGTTTATTTTTATCATTTTCTTATTTTATTTCTTTTTTTCCCCCAAACTAATGGACCTTTATTGATACATTATTTTTTATCTTATTTTATTTCAAGTTCTTTTATACATTCAATCATGTCATTTAGTTTGCAAAGTGAATATTCCAACATGTTTACCTTTCTCCCCAGTCCAGTTGATAATACTATAAAGTTATCTTTAACAGATAATACCCCATTTCTTTGTCCCATTAATGCTTTGCCTTATACTGGCTCATGAACTAACCCACATTCTGCAAAACAATATGATAATCTGCCTATAATTTTAGTTACTACCGGCTTGAAGTTTTATTTCTTTCCTGAAGAAATTCTTTTAAAAGTGAACTTTGAATATCAATTCATTATTTCTCAAGGACTTACAATTCCATGTTTTTAAACTCTGATTTAAAAGATGCAGTATTTAAAAAAAATTTAAAAAGAAGATGCAGTATTTACTGAACTTATATCAGGTTGTCAGCAAAGTAACAAGTTATTTTTCTGTTTTTCTATGCAAAAATACATCATGACTTTCCCAACAACGCTTTTCTATATGCAACAGAATTTTAAATATATTATAACCAGTCTCTCAACTCTGAAAGACTAAAAATCATTATGCTCTCTTCAAATAAGAACTTTGAGGTAGATTAAAGTAACTATCGTGTATGAAGAGAAGAATCTATAAAAGACCAAGTACCAAACTCACATTAGTTGATCTTCAAAATCAAATGTTTCACTATTCCCTGCTGCTTGGTTTCATTAAAGGATGAACATTATACTAAAGTATTAAGACTAATGAGGAGGGCTGGCAGGTGACATGGTGCTTAGGGTACTAGACTGCCACATGGTCAACCACAACTCAAGTCCCAGACCTGATGGCTTACTTTCTTGCTTTTCCTTTCTCTCTCTTGTCAAATTAAAAAATAATAATAGACTCCAGCGGCAGTGCCTGGAGAGCAACGCCAACTTTGGAGCTTCCACTGGTCTTACGGGAAAGATGAAACCTGACGAAACACCTATGTGTGACCCACGTGTACTCAAAGTGGACTGGAGTCAGAATACAGCTACATTTCCTCCAGCTATTTCCTAACACATCCCAGAAAAGGCCTAGTTTTAAGATCTCTTTGTACTGCTGACTTAAATAGAGATTTTTTTTAAGGTAGTGGGTCAGCTGACAAGAGACTGGCGTTGTTAGCCCTGAACAATTCATGAAATCTTTTGAGCATATGAAGAAATCTGGAGATTATTATGTTACGGTTGTGGAAGATGTGAACCTAGGACAGATCGTTGCTACAGCCACTCTGATAATAGAACATAAATTCATCCACTCTTGTGCTAAGAGACGAAGAGTAGATGTTGTAGTTAGTAATCAATGCAGAAGAAAACAGCTCAGCAAATTGTTATTATCAACTCTTACTTTGCTGAGCAAGAAACTGAACTGTTACAAGATTACTCTTGAATGTCTACCACAAAATGTTGGTTTCTTTTTTTTATTAAATTTTTTTGAGAGGTTTTTGCTATAGGGCACGTGTACTCGCCAGAAAGACAGAGACAGAGAGACAGAAAGCAAGAAATCACCCCTCAGGAGGGATGGCCTCGCCGCAATCCCTTCTCCTCTCGGGATCTTGGGCACTCACGCCCACACGCCCAGAGTGAGTTTAAGCAACCAGGTCCGGGACTCAAACCATGGTCAACTACATAGGAGTCCAGAGACATAGCCATTATGCTAACTGCTAGTCCCACCAAAATGTTGATTTCTATAAAAAGTTTGAATATACAGTATCTGAAGAGAACTACAAGTGTCAGAGGTTTATAAAGTAAAAAAAAAAAATTTTTTTTTTTTTTTTTTGCTTTCGGGTGTGTGCGCTCACCAGGCAGAGAGACAGAAAGTGAGAAATCAACCCCCAGGGGGATGGCCACGCTGCAATCCCTTCTCCTCCATTCTCCTCTCGGGATCTTGGACACGCATGCACATGAGCCCTGCGTGAGTTTTAAGCCACAGGATCCGGGACGTGAACCGCAGTCGAATACGTGGGAGTCCAGCGACATAGCCATTACGCTAACTGCTGGTCCCAAAGTAAAAATCTTTAAAGAAAGACATTTGTCAAAGGAGCTAATGCTGCAAGCTAATATCCTTTCTAGGACTAAAATATTTTGTCATGGCAACCCAGAGACCTCCATAAATACTGGACTGGCAAAAACACTGTAATACTAAAAGTATAATGACATTTAGAAGATTATTTGGGGCTGGTGGGACTTGCTGTGAATTTAGATTACAGATGAATTATTACAAAGGGGATGATTTTTAACCAAAGGAATATATTTTTAACTTGAATCTTTTCTTGCATTGTACTTTTCTAAAGTCTGGCTTCATTTTTTTGTAGCCAAGAGTATGGGTAGTAAGGAGTTATGTCTGCTATCCATACTGCTCATTTTTTTAAAAAGTACACAGTGACTAAGGTTGTTTCTTATATTCATAAAATGAAATGCCTTTGTTTCAGAGAAACATACATGAATATACTCACAGGTGGATCATTTCTAACATATTACATGAAGTTGGATAAATTAGCTATAACTATATATGGTGCAGCCCAGTATCTGTTGACACTAATTCTCGCAAACAACCTGGTCAGTCTTTTAAAGAAATAGAGTAAGCAAAATTACCTTGTAAACTGTAACATGACTCAAGTAATTTAAATATTATACTGAAAGTTTATATAGTCCTGTACAAAGCACTACCTATCTTATGTTTGAAACATAATAATTATTCATTAAAAATACCTAAGAGTAAATGTAATGGCACATCTAAGTTATTAACAGTTAATTAGCAAATCTGAACATACATATTTCTACCCTGATTTCACTTTTCATGAGCATCTGAAATCCTCTCACCTGAGTAACATTTTTATGGAAAATGGGGTATTAAAAAACCAAGTGGAATACTTAAAAATGTATTATACTGCGTTTGTCACATTCTTAAACTACTGGTGGAAGCTTTTCTATTTAATGTGACCATAATGGTAACATTATTCTGATCACTATCCTGTTTTCACTTTATTTAATTATTTTTTAAAGTTGAAATAAGAATTCAGTATTTATTAATGGTTCTCATCTTTTGCATTCCATGTTACATTAAACCTGTCCATAATAGTGAAAATAATAATAATAAATAAATAAAATAAAATAGTTCTTTAAAAAAAAGACAAATGAGAATGGCAGGCTGTAGTAATTACTTTTCCAATGTATCCAAAAAAATCACATTATCTCTTTAAAAACAAAAAAATGAAGTCTCTACCAAATATCAACAGAATTCCAACCATCTCTCTGACCCCTATTCTAAGCTCCCAGTTTTAGAACAAGCAAGAAATAGAGCTCTAGTAGTAAAAGAAGGCCCCTCGCCAAACTACGACGCCCCATTAGCCTTCATCTGTCAAGACCAGTGACAGGGGAGCAAATGACAGCCAGCGGAACTTGAAAAATAATGTAATAGGAAAAGATAAGGTGATATATAAAACTAATCTATTCTCTATTTCATAAATTTTGTTATTACTTCTGCTATGCAATTTTAGAATATTAAAACAATACACATCTGATTTAATTTAAATATGTAGACCTTTCAAATACTAAATTTAATCCTTTTTTTCAATGTGATGAAAGTCTCAACAATTCTATTTTATAAAAACATACCAGCAAGAGGTGGTTTATGTGAGTGAAGAATACAGGGCACGCTGACAATTAATTTATGGTCTGGAATGGGAAGCACTTTAACATCTGCATTCCTAATTTTAAAAGAACAAAAAAGTAAGATGTATTTTTTAAAAAACTATTCTTATATATAAACCAAAGTGCACTGACTTTTTTACCTTTCAAATAGTATCTTAAATAGAATTTTCAAATAGTATTTTATTTTATTTTAAAACAAATTTTAGAACTCAATCAAGGAAAGAAATCAGCAACTTAAATATTGAGATATTTCTCTATAATTCTTTTTTGTGTAATGCTAATGACCAGGTAAAACAAAAGATAACACAGGGCACTAGGGTGCCGCTGCATGATGCTCGGATCACATGGAAAGCCCCAAGGTTCAGGTCTCAGGTTGACCCGGACACCAGGCCCACCTGGAGCATGTCTGCCATCCTGGCTGGCTAGAAGTCTTAGGGAAGGATCGTGGTATTAGACTCCATTGGGGTCCCTGTCTCTCTGACTCTCTCTTATGAAAGGGGAAAAAAAAAATTCTTAAAAAATAATAATATAAAATTTCATGTGCCATACCATACAATCTTTAGTGTTCTGGGCCAATTTCAGAGTTCCAAAAATGTAAAAATCAAAGCAAATCAATGATCCTTGTATTAATAATTTTAAAGTCTAAATACATTTATACCAAAAAAAATACATTCATACAATTTTGAACAAAATTACCTTTCCTACCTTAATGGTAAAGCAGTTTTTTCTTGAAATCTCCCCAGTATAAGACCTTCATAAGGCTTTTTATGTGGAGAATCTAACGGGAACACAAACTCTCCTGAACTGGTAATCTGATAGGAAGGAGCAGGAAACAAAAGAATTCATTTTTCATCATTATGTGGTTTTCAGTCCCTTTACATAGGTTATTAAACCTCTAATAAAAATATAATGGGAGTCCAAATGGTAAGCCACATATGAATTGGGTCATGAGAAAAGCAATGGCGTATTTTTCTGGTTTTCTATGCAAAAATGTGTCATGACTTTTTCAACAACCCAATAATTTAAAATTTTAATTCATTTTAATTATATATTTAACTATCCAAAATATTAGCACTTCAATATCTAATTAAGACAAAAAGCTTACTGAGATAAGTTACATTATTTCTTTTGTCCTATGTCTTTTTTTTTTTTTTTTTTTTGGGGATTTTTTCTTTACGTGGGG